CTTTCCGCAGCTCCTTTAATTGTTTGTTATTGTTATCACGATTATTCTTTAAAATAAAGTTATATAGTCATTAACGTTATTGAAACTGACAGCTGCTATACAGCTCGTTGAGAAATGAGGTTAAGTTGGTCGCTATAAGCTACTCCCTACGTCCAATGTGTCAGAGCCAACTTCGACCACGTTTTTATTTGAACGCTCGTTATATACTTCTAATAACTTTTTAGGTATCACAAAAAATGTACTTCGGCATTACGTCCACGAAAAAGCTTTAATTTTAGAATTCTCAAGGTATCGACAAAAAATGTATGTCCACACTACATCCACATTTGTTAAATTTCGATATTTACAGAACATTATATATACTTCTAATAATTTTTTAGGTATCACAAAAAATGTACTTCGGCATTACGTCCACGAAAAAGCTTTAATTTTAGAATTCTCAAGGTATCAACAAAAAATGTATGTCCACACTATGCCCATGTTTGTTAAATTTCAATATTTATAGAACATCAAACAAAATTACTGCTAATAATTTTTTAGGTATCAAAAAACATATACGTCCGCATTACGTCCACAAAAATGCCTTAATTTTAGAATTTTCAAGGTATCAACAAAAATGTATGTCCACACTACGTCCACATTTGTTAAATTTCGATATTTACAGAACATCATATTTCTAATAATTTTTTAAGTATCAAAAAAAAAATGTACGTCCGCATTACGTCCACAAAAATGCCTTAATTTTAGAATTTTCAAGGTATCAACAAAAAATGTATGTCCACACTACGTCCACATTTGTTAAATTTCGATATTTACAGAACATCATATTTCTAATAATTTTTTAAATATCAAAAAAAATGTACGCCCGCATTACGTCCACAAAAATGCCTTCATTTTAGAATTTTCAAGGTATCAACAAAAAATGTATGTCCACACTACGTCCACATTTGTTAAATTTCGATATTTACAGAACATCATATTTCTAATAATTTTTTAAATATCAAAAAAAATGTACGCCCGCATTACGTCCACAAAAATGCCTTCATTTTAGAATTTTCAAGGTATCAACAAAAAATGTATGTCCACACTACGT